TGTGTGTGCACGTTCCCTCCCCTGCACCTTTGCCCTGGGAGGTCCTCCTTCCCCATCTCCACCTGGCAAATGCCCAATCTGCCTTTCAAGGTCCACTTCAAATGGCACCTTCTTCATAAGGTCTTTCGTACTCCACTCCAACCTCATGTAACCTCTCCCCCCTCCCTGTCAGCTTTGCTACATTAATGCTCTCTTTTTTGAAAGCCCATTCCTTGTATTCTCTTTGCATGGGAAAAATCTGTGTCTTATTCACCCAGCACCTAGCAACTTGTTTGACATGTAGTAGGTGCTCAGTAAATGCAGAGGAGATGGTACAGCTAAGGCTGTTTGCTATAAGACACAGATCCAAGGAACCATCAGCTCTAAGAAACAGGCAATATAGATATTCCTCCCAGGAGGAGATGAAAATAACTCTGAGCACCTATTAGGCGCCTTCTAACTCTGACCCCATCCCCATCAGGCTCCTGGCCTCCTCAATCCTCAAGGACACACCACTTCAAAAATAACTCTACACTCACTGCTCGGTTCTGCCTTTCTCCCTTTCCCTTCCCTTCTCTCCCCTCCTATTCCATAAAACCCCGGGGCTGCTGCCCACAGAACAGGGGGGAGAAAAATAGAAGGGCTGAGGGAACCCACCCCCTTCTGAACACGCAGATGAGGAAGTGATTATCAGAGGTCACCGTCTTGGTCAGTTCCTGTTTCTGGAGCAAAGATGCCAAAATCTGTTCCCTTTTCTTGTGAAAAAATGTAGGGGTTTTGACTTCTAAATTTCCCAGAAACAATACTGTCACTCAGCTGTCTGTGTTTCTGTCTGTCTGTGTCTGTGTGAATGGTCTGCCAAGGCCTTCTGGGACTGCTCCTCATGGGTGAGCACCCAGGGGAAGCCTTGGAAACTATATCTCATTCCTGCCCCTCCCCACTTACAACCCCTACTCACCCACCCACCCACCCGGCCTGTCTGAGGAGGAGCAAATGCACTCGGACAGGCTGCCTCTGGGCTCCTATCTCCTCCCAGGGCCTTGCAGGACGTCCCTCCTCAGGCCTACATCTGGCTACTCAGAAGCCCCTAGAGAGGGCGGAAATTGAAGCTGGTAACTTGGACTCACTCAGAGGTGATGTGGATCCGTTTGGGAAACCATGTCCCTGTCCTGCTCCTGAGCTTGAAGTTATCCCAACCTGGGAGCAAGCAGCTACCACCATCCTTGCCCCCAGCCTTGGGCCAGGGCAGTGGTCGGCAAACTGCAGCCCCTTGAATGTGGCTCTTCCACAAAATACCACGTGTGTGCATGCACGTACAGTGCGACTGAAACTTCGTGGCCACACTCAAGGAGCCAAAGAGCCACATATGGCTCTCGAGCCACAGTTTGCCGACCACTGGGCCAGGGCATCATCTTCTGTGCCCCAGTCTTATGTGGAATGGGTGGATAGCACCCCTTCATGTGGAATCAGACCCTCCTGAGCCCTGGGTGGAGAAAGGAGGAGGGCTGGCATAGGAAGTATGGGAGGTGGAGGTGGGAGAGGATGGGCTAGGGAACAGGTACATATAAACTAAACCAAGCTCAGAGACTAACTAAAGCCAGAGTCAGAGTGAGGATGGGCCTTGGAGTCAGGTTAGGAACAAGATGTGAAGGTCAGAGTGCTCTTGGGAAAGCAATGGTGCCCAGCCCTCTGCACTGGGTGAGAGAGGCCTGGACAGGGCCTAGGTAGCAGAGTCTCTGTATATGTAAGAGGCAAAAGTTAGAGCTTTCTAACAGGATCCACATTTGGCCTGCTTTTCTTTTGGTCTCTGTTTCCACTTGGACTGTGCCTACCCAATTCCTTCCTCTTTCTCTCATTCCTTCATTCAACATTTAAATAGAGTCTTTACTATAAAGCAGGCTACTGTGTAATCAGTGGTCCACAAAGATACGTAAGATTCAGTCAGTCCTTCGCCGTGTGAAGCTATTATTGAACTGGAGAGACCAATGTATAAGCAACTATGTGTAACCGATCCTGTGTGAAAGGTGAAAAAATGGATGCCGTGGAAGAAGATGGAGGGTGTAGAAGACGGGGGTCAAGGAAGAATTCACAAAGAACAGAAGAGATTTGAGCTGAAAGTGGGACTTACCAGCCAGAGAAGGAAAGGAGGGCCTTCCAGGATGATGAAAAACAAAGGCTGGAGAGCATGAATACAAAAGGCCTCAGTAGCGACAGTTTCGGAGAATGGGACAGAAGGTCAAGGCCCCTCCAATGCTATTCTAGATTGGATCAGGCACCCCAATGAAGTGGAGACTGAAGGAGAAGAGAGGTCTGAGTCAACCAGCTCCTGTTCCAGCCCCACGGGCTACCCTCCTAGCAGAGGTGACATGGGCCCCAACCTAGAGTCCTCCATCCACCTTCCCCACCCTCACCGGATTACTGTTGGTCCTATCCAGGGTTCCTGAGGGATGGTTTTCCTCCGCTGTGCTGACCCAAGGAGGTTTCCTATCCCCTCCTCAGGCCCCCACACTCTGGAACAGTGGGAGATGGACATTACTCAGGCCCAGGTCACTGCTCAGGCTTTGATCTAAGTGGCTTTGTCTCACTACCCTGCACCCCACTCCTGGGTCCTCATGCTCTACCACCCAGCTGCAGAGGTGCCAGCCAGATGGAGCAGCAGGAGGGGCAGCCTCTTCCTCCAAGCTAACTCGCTGCCTTGCTCTCAACGCCTGTAGTAGAGCAAGGCCTGCTCACCAGCCACGAAGGCCAGGCCTAAAACGACGGAAGACATCAGTGGCCAGGGCTTTCCAAAGCGTAGGCTGGGACTAGCAGAGGCCTCACGACCCTGAGCCTCTGCGTCCTCCTCGCGGGGTGTTGCGCGCAATCCCCAAGGCTGAAGGCCTGATCAGCAGGAACGCTGGACGGCTCCGCAGGTGGTGGACCCAAAGGACCTGAACCAGAGCCAAGGTTGGGGGGGGGGGGCAGGAGGCGGGGCAGGACCGAGGAGTCTGCGGGGGATCCCAGATGCTGGCAGTGGTTGGGGGTGCGCTGCCAGGAAGGAGGGCCCCCACCGGCGCGCGTGGCAGAGAGCCCGGGCAGCCCTCGACAGCGCCCCGCAGCGCCTGCGCGGGTCCCTGGTCCCTCGGGCGCCCTCCCCGCCCCGCCCGCCCCGAAGCCCGAGCGCGGCGCCGCGGGAGGAATTCCAGCCATTTCCTCCGCGCCGCGCGGTATGCAGCCTGCTCGCTGCCCGACCGCAGCGCGGCCCCAGGTGGGGGCCGGGCGGCGCAGGCCAGTCCCCGCCGCATCTGGCAGCTGTCCCGGCTCGCCGTCCTCCTCGGGATTCCCGATTCTCCGTCCTCCCCCCCTCCCCCCCACCCCGCGTCCCGGGTGACCAAACCGGCCTTTCCAGCGGCCCCCGGCCTGGCGCCCCCGGGCTCCCGCTCCTCCCCGCTCCGCGCGCCCACCCTCCGGCTTCCTCGGTCCCCGCCGCGGCCCCTCCCGGCCACCGCGGACCCCTGGAAGTCCCCAGAGTCCGAGTGTGAAACTGAACTTGGCACTTGCTACGTCATATCGGGGCCAGTCCCATAGCCTTTGAAAGCCTCAGTTTCTCATTTTGCGCAACGGCAACTCCAACAGCAGTGCAACCCCATGTGCGCTTCCCTGGGTAAAAGGAGAAAGGGACCGCGCTGGACCCGGGTCCCGCGGCTTTCTGTCCTCCAGGCATCGCTGTCCTTGGCTTTCCTAGGGCCTCCCGCCCACCCCGCCGTGGCTTGCTCTCCATCCCCTCCGCGGGTGGGGCGGCCCTGGCCGGCTCTGCAGGTAGGCACGGTCGGTGGCTGCCTCCGCGGGGCCTGCTCCAGCCTGCTCTCTCCCTGTCTTAAAAAATGCCTGAACCTTCTTCAGGATCCAGCATTGCCCTCGAGGTTCTTGAAAAGCCTAAAGGGCAGTCATTAACATGTTGACATGATGTCATCGCAGTCTGAGAGCCACCGGACACGTGGTGATCAGGGACAGTTGGGTTTCGGACCCGGGACGACGGGGCGCGCAAACGTGGAAAAGGTCTGAACAGAGGATGGGCCACCACGTGCTCTCCGGCTCGTCTTTCAAAGCGCAGGCCCCCCCCCCCGCCCCCGGGAGAGGGAACATTCTTTCCGTCTTTAACCCTTTGGACGAGCATCGAGGAAACCGAGAGCCAAAGCCCGGGGCGACTGGAAGGGTGGGCCCCGCTTCCCCCGCCGCCCACACCTGCCTCGCCCACGCCCACGCCCACGCCCACGGCGGCCGTAAATGTCACACTAGGTGGGGTTGGAAAGCCCCGAGCTGCACCAGGCCTGGCCTCCGCCTGCTTTGCAGACGCAGCACGGAAGAGCCGCTCCGCTTCGGTGTTCCCCGCAGAAGGCCCCCGGTTTTGCTTTTGTAACTTCCACTCCAGCCAGCGTCCCAAGGCCAAGAATCAGCCCTCGCGGCAGGACGGACCCCCCTCGTTCCCCACGCCGCCGCAGCCACAGACTGCAGAGATCCAGGTGGAGGCAGGTCCAGAAACACAGGTGCCATAAACATCCCAGCCCAGCCAGAGCCGGCTCCCAGGCCGCCCCTCCCCTCCCCACCCCCGCCCGCCCGCCCCGGAGCCCAGCACTTCCGGCCATCGCGGCGGGCGGGCGGGCCTCTCCGCCTGGGGAGGGGCGGGCTTCATCTGTAACAGGGGCCTGGCTTCCCCTTCCTCACCGGAGGGCCCGCCCCACCCCCCTCAGGGCCCAACCTGAGGCTTTTCTCTCTACTCTGGATACACCTCCGCGACTCCCCTTGCGGGCCGCTCCCTCCCTTTCCTGGTACCTATTTTTAGAAGGCTGCTCCCAGGGACCCCAGTCTACTAGAAAGGCAGGCTCCTCTCTGGAGGTGGAGGAGGGAGGCTGCCTTTGGTTGGAAGGCGACACCGAAATCAGATTTACAATTTGCCATTTGATTCTAACATTTTTTTGTAGCACTCTTTGTTTGGGGAGGGGAGGCGGGGGGCGGGGGGGGGGGAGCGGCTGGAGGCAGAGTGGATCTAAAAGAGGGGAAAGAAAGAAGCTGGGAGTTCATGCAAAGAGGGAACAGAGCACACTAAAAAGAGGCTTTCCCGGCAGGCCGCTGCCCAGGGGCTCAGGGGGGCTTTCTGAGCCTGCGGGCAGCAAGAGACTCCACTGGGGAAAAGGGTTCATGAAGTTCCGCTCCCTGGGGCTAAGGGTACAAAAGCTGTCCCCAGGAAACTGGGAGATCTGATGGCTTGGAGCAAGGGGAGAAAGAACAGGTTTGAAGGTGATGAGTAAAACGGATCTGAATCATGAATCACCGGTCTTCAATATGTCTGTAAACATAAGCTTTAACGAAATAAATGAATCCCTGTTTTGAAACATAGTGGGTAACCCTAAAAATGAAGTCTGAACTCTCTTCCCATTTGGGAGCTTTCTCTGCAGTCACTGTGCTAGGTAGGGAAGCACTTTGCAACCTCTAGCTGGCCGAGCCCTACTTAGAATGTACTGCTAATTCCCCGTCTTACTCATGAGGAAACTGAGGGCAGAGCGGCTAATTAACCAGCTCAAGGACACCCAGCTGGTAGAGGAGCGGTTTGAACTCAGGGATCTGACTTCAGTGGTCAGCTGTTGAGCCTCTGCTGTGGGATAATCAACTCTGTTGGTCTCTGACCAGAGATGGCAATGACTCCTCTGTAGTCTCAGCTGCCTTGCACAGTGAGGATGACCTTCCTGTAGCAGACCTGAGTGATTGCAGCCCCATTGAACTTGATGGCTTTCCTGAAGGGCCCGTGCAACCTACCCAAAGGCCCTATAGGAGCAGGATTCCAAATGGACTGGATGCAAGTCACCAAGATCGGAGTCAGCCCTGGACCAGCCCTTCCTGTGTGATTTCAGGACCTCAAGGAGCCCCAAGTGGCCTTTTTACTGAAAAACCACCATAAAAGAGCCATTGTGCTTAACACGGAACCAGATGTGTGCTTAACTTTACCCAGGTCACTGGATCTCACCTTGGGCCATGGGCCAAGGTAACCCAAAGGTATGTTTTGTCTCGCTTTCCTAATATATATATTTAAAATTTTTATTTATTGATTTGAAAGAGAAACATCAATTTGTTGTTCCACTCATTTATACATTCATTGATTGATTCTTGTATGTGCCCTGACTGGGGATTGATCCCACAACCTTAACTGAGCTACCCAGCCAGGGTAGCATACTGACGCATGGGCTACTGCCAAAAATAAAAGGTCTAAGTTCAAATATTCACTGAGCTACCCAGCCAGGGCCCCAGCATATTTTTTTAAGTTGCATCAATTACCAAATATTTGACTTTGGAAGATTACAAAGAAATATCTGGATTTTTTAAGCTTCTCCCCCAAGATCTGAAAATCTGGCCACACTGACATATACTCTGCTGTCCACCACAGTCCCAGCCATCTCAACCTATCAATACCAGCAAATCCCTCCATCTTTTACTCCCACCCTACTGCTTGGCCCACAGGCGTTTGAATTTGCTGAACTTCCTCACTAAAATGCAGATATTCACTGAAGAGGTAACTATTGAGTCTATAACTAGTCACATTCCAGAATGGATATCTTTTTCTGAAAGCTGGTTAAGGGAGAATAATTGAGGTACGTTAAGGTGAGGATAGGAGAGAAAGTGGAGCTCCCCCAGATAAGGTGTCAGGCCAAACGAGAGCAGGGCAGAGAATATTTCTAGGGTCCTAGAAGACCACAAGATGAGAAATTGGTGTTCAAATAACTGTCAAGTATATGCAACACAAAGAAAGATCACCTGTTTCCCAGGAGCTCATCCTTTTATTTAACTTTGCAAACACCAAGCTTTTATTAGCATCCTGGGCTCCCTTCCCCAAACCTGCTGGAAGAGCCTTGGGCAGTGTCCAGAAACAAACCCTGGAGGTGATTAGAGGGCTGCCGACTCAGGCTGTGAGCGAGCCCAAAGGAATGGGTCTGGCTTTGGACCAGGACAGAGCTAAGCCCAGAAGAGGAGCTGAATGAAGATGAGGACCAAGTGATTAACTGGGGTCTGGGCAGCCAGGAACTGAAGCACGAACTCATTCACCAAGATGGTGAGCAGCTGTTTTCTGAACTGTGGATTACATGAGGGAAAACCATCTTCCCCGAATTTGGAAGCTTTTCCTGCCAGAGCAGTTTATTGTGTAGGCAGAGAGGGGAAGAAGTATTGTATAGAGATATGTACTGGATGAAATGGCCTTAGGCAGACTCTCTGATAGACCTCAGTGCTGCCTCAACTTACCCAAATGCACATGTGGGAGGGTTTCAGCTCTGTGAATATTTGAACTCAGCCCTTTTATTTTTGGCAATAGCTCATGTGTCCACAGAGCCCCAGATGTGTACTCTGGGGTCGGGAGGAGGGTAAGATGAAGTACCTTTAGGGCTTTGGGAGAAATGGCCAGTTCTGTAATCAGAGACAGGAAAATCTATCTGACCTCTTTTAAAGCTGGTGAATAATATGGCACAGTCAGAATTGTCACAGTTGCTGGGTGCAGCCTTTGGAAAAGATGAAAACTTAGCAGGAGACGGGGAGTTGCCAGGCTGGGTCAGGGCACACTCAATTCAGAGAGCCTCCCCTCACTTCTCCCCATCACCAGGTGGGAAAGAGCCCCTGAAACCCTTTCTGAACCCCAACACGCAATCTTTTGGAGAAATGGCCAGCTCTGTAACCAGAGACAGGAAAATCTATCCGACCTCTTTTAAAGCTGGTGGATAATGTGGCAGAGTCAGAATTGTCACAATTGCCCACCCCTTTGATGTGCTTACTCTCCTTCTGACCCAGGGTAAAGTTCATGACCAATCATTATAATCATCCTTTCACATACCCTCAACTCTTTGCTTCTTGTCTTTGTTATTCTCACCTGGCATGACAATAGACGTAATCAATTTCAAGTCTTTGACTACTCCACACCTGGCTACAGAAAAACCCTCAGCCACACTATTTGATCCCACTTTAAATTCATGATGATAAAACTCAAGTGGGCTCTTAATGCTGCCCCATAGTCATAGTTCCCTGTTCCATTCACTCACCTATGCTCTCAGATGACAGTTTTAAACCTTCCTTTCTCTTCTCAAACTCAACATTTCCTTCCCATCCTCGCTCTCAGCTGCTCATTGGACTCTTTTTTCACTGGGAAAATAGAAGCACCTGGAAGAGAACTGCAGATCCCCACCATCACAATTATCCCCTGCCCAGCAGTTTGCATTTTCATACTTTGTCTTTCTGCCTATTATCAGAGATGACCCATCCATCAAAAGCAAATCCCTCCACTGTGCACTCAATTCCATCCCTCTCACCTACTCAAGGAAGGACCTTACTTCAGCAATTCTCCCTTACACCAAATTGCCATGCTCTACTGGAGCATTTCCATCAGCACACAAACATACTAGTACTTCTCACATACGAAAAAACAACAAATCCTTGTAATGGCTGCACTTCCCTTGGCAGACTTTGCCCCATTTGTTTGTTCCCCTTTAGAGCAAACTTCTCAAAGGAATCATCTATGCTTGCTCCGTTCAGTTCTTCTCCTCCGGTTCTCTCTTAAACCAGCCCCAAATCAGGCTTCTATGCCCAGCACGCCACAAAAATTGTCCTTGTCAAAGTTACCGTGACTTACATGTTGCTAAAATAATGGTCAATTCTCAGTACTCATCTTATTGATTAATAGCATCTGATGTAATTAACCACATCCTCTTCCTTGAAACACTTTCTTCACTGGGCTTCTAGACATCTCACCCTCTGGGTTTTCCTCCTATCTCACTACTCCGATTGTCTTGGTATCTTTTTCAGATTCCTCCTCTTTTCTCTGATCCCTAAATATTGAAGTGCCCAGGGCTAAGACCCCAGTCCTCTACTCTTTCTTATCCATCTCTTTTGATGATCTCATACAAATATCTGATTTGAAATACCATCAATACCACTCATGACCCACATTTATATCTCCAGCCCAGCCCCTTTCCCTGAATTCTAGACTCATGTAACCAATTCCAAACTCAAGATGTTCAAAACTGAAGTTTTTAAAAATATATATTTTATTGATTTTTTACAGAGAGGAAGGGAGAGGGATAGAGAGCCAGAAACATCAATGAGAGAGAAACATTGATCAGCTGCCTCCTGCACGACCCCCACTGGGGATGTGCGCACAACCAAGGTACATGCCCTTGACCGGAATCAAACCCGGGACCCTTGAGTCCACAGGCTGACGCTCTACCCACTGAGCCAAACTGGTTCTGGCCAAAACTGAACTTTTGATATACTCCCTCAAACTTGATCTACAAATAGCCTTTCCTATCACAATTGATGGCAACTCTGTTCTTCCAATTGCTCAGCCAAAAATCGAAGCCATCCTTGACTCCTGTTTTCCTCTCACAAGCAGACCAGATCAGGCAGGAATTAACTCTAGCTTCAAAATACACCCAAAATTCAACCACTTCTCACCTCCTTTGTTGCTGCCATCCTAGTCACAGTCATCATTACTTTCACCTGTATTATTGCTGTAGCCTCCTGCCACGTCTTCCTGCTTCTACTCTGGCCTTCAATATAGCAGCCAGAGTGATCCTTTACAAATAAATATACCTTATATCAGTGGTTCTCAACCTTCTGGCCCTTTGAATACAGTTCCTCATGTTGTGACCCAACCATAAAATTATTTTCGTTGCTACTTCATAACTGTAATGTTGCTACTGTTATGAATCGTAATGTAAATATCTGATATGCAGGATGGTCTTAGGCGGCCCCTGTGAAAGGGTCGTTCGACCGCCAAAGGGGTCGCGACCCACAGGTTGAGAACCACTGCCTTAGATCATATCACTCCTCTAATCAAAACCCTCAGTAGCCTCCCTCCCCATTTCTTTTAGAGTAACTCTTTAATAACTCATTTCTCTCAGTATGAAAACCAAAGTCTTTACAATGCCAAAAAGGTCCTGCATTTTCTACACACCCTGCCTCTCACCTCTCTGTCTTTCTCTTCCGGTACACTCTTCCTCACTCATTTTGGGAGTCCAGCCTCCTTACTGTCCCTCAAACACACTAAGCATGTTTTCACACTGAGGCCTCTGCTCTACCTGAACACTTGACCTAAACACTCGTGCCCCAGAAATGTGCTTAACAAACTTTTTCACTCCTTTAATCTTTAGATCTCATCTTTTCAATGAGGCCCACCCTGTTTAATACTAAAGCTTGCCATTTTCCCTACACCCCAATGCTCCTGATCACAATTAACCTGCACAATCTTGCTCTTTTTTTGACCCCCATGGCACTTATTACCTTCTAACATACTATGTAATTTATATATTTGTTATGTTTATTGCTTATTATCTATCCCCTCTCTGCTCCCTTTAGGGATCTTTGTCTGTTTTCTTCACAAATATATTCTAATTGTTCAGAAGAGTACTGGTACATAGTAGAGAATATATATATATATATATATATATATATATATATATATATGGAGAGAGAGAGAGAGAGAGACTACAGCGTTTGGACAGTTTTAAGCCTGGGACTAATGAGAGGGCATGATCCTCTCGTAGCAAAGCCACGTGCAAGTCCCAGCCAAAGGCTATAGTTCTAAGCTTGACCTTATGGTCCGAACCTGTGGTCCCACGTGGCTGAGTGATATAGGCTGCAGGAGGTGCAGCAAGTAAACAAAGCTTGATCAAGTGCGTGTAATTGAGTAGATTCGAAACCCACAAGAACGTTGTAAACATCTTGACCACGCCCATACTTTGCCTCATGGAATCTGGCTATAAAGTGAAGACTCGGCTTGCAGGCCGTGGCGCTGTCTCTCCATCAGAGAGGGCAGTGTCCCACCCAACCCTAGCTTTCTTCTCTTGTCTGCCTTTTCTAAATCCTTTACCACCCCTTCTCAGGTTCACCATGGCCCTGCCAGCTCAGCATGTGTGTATATGTGTGTGTGTGTGTGTGTGTGTGTGTGTGTGTATATATATATATATATATATATATATATATATATATATATATATGTAATCCATACAGAGAGGGAT